GAATGGCGGCCACATCAAAAGGAGCAGAAAAAGAGATGGGAGTGCATAACAGTGTGGACATGACCCACATCAGCTGCCCCACTAAAGGGGGGGAAATGCAACTACCTCACACACTGCCATGCTTGCTCACAAAGAGCAGGTCTTTGAACCCCTCCACAGTTCAGAAGAGATGGAAGGATGGACTTTTCCTGACATCTAATGAAATGTGCTCATTGCTCTTGTGCTCAGGAAAGTGCGCTTGTGCAACTGGTTGGCCAGGATAATGGGCCATTAGCCTGATCTATCAAGGGCTTCTCTTATGTTAACTAAGCAGGAATAGCAAACCGTTTCTACTTTATTGCGGATTTTTCAGGGAATATTTACTGAGAACGTTCGCAAGTGCCATAGGAGTTACAGTGGTACCTCGGGTTACATACCCTTCAGGTTACAGGCGCTTCAGGTTACAGACTCCGCTAACCCAGAAATAGTGCTTCAGGTTAAGAACTTTGCTTCAGGATGAGAACAGAAATCGTGCTCTGGCGGCCCGGCGGCAGCAGGAGGCCCCATTAGCTAAAGTGGTGCTTCAGGTTAAGAACAGTTTCAGATTAGGTACGGACCTCCGGAACGAATTAAGTACTTAACCTGAGGTACCACTATACCAGGAAGGCACACAGGCACCTGCAAACATGCCTTCACCTACAGTAGCAACCCCCTTGACCGGAGCTCAACAAGGTGGCAGGCTGATCCTCCATCTCTTCAGCCGAGATCATGACATTGCTGGCGGTTGGGATGCCAAGTTCAGAATCTTTGTGGAATACTTAAACACTACATTTCCCCACCCCAAGGGTGCTGTTGACTGCATAAAGTACGTTTTGAGGCAAATAGCAGCCAGCTGTGGTGGGTATTTGAAGTGAAGCAACAAATCAGGTTGCTTTTCCATTAAAATAAAAGTGGCAGCATTAAGTAAACTCTTTTTAAGCAAATTGGCATTCCTTGGATTTTGGACCTAAGAAACGCAGTGATTATCAGGCCCATGAACCTTCTCCCCTTGTCACTGATGCAGAAGGGCAATAGTGCAGTGCTAGAGCATTTGCTTTGCACCAGAAGGTTCCTGGTTTCCTGGTTCAATATCTCCGGCATCTCAAGGTAGGGCTGGAAGTGTGTCCTGTTGAAAACCCTGGGGAGTCACTGCCAATGTCTAAGCTAGATGGACCAGTTGTCTGATTCAGAATAAAGCAGCTTCCTATGTTGGTTTCCTAGATCAGCTTGCCCATTTCTATGTGGATATCCAAACTCCCTCACTGCAATGGGCCTCTGTGACTGACACGATATTCATTACCAAAATGGACTAAGTTGGCCGTCAGTGCTTTCATTAATGGCAGAAAGTTTGCTCTTGCATGAATAAACATGAGGTAGTGTAATTTGACTGATATCAAAAGAGCATCTCACCACCTCCCAAGCAGAATGGTATCATTCTCCCTTGCATACACTACGCCGGTTTCCTAGGTAACATGTGATCTCTTGCCTTCCTTAACAGTCGTGATGCCAACAAACATTACAGACAGTAATAGGTGTTTGTTACAGCTGAAGATGTGAGTACTCTAATGATAGCATGATAAATCTTAATGTGAAAATCGGACGCCACATTAGTGACAGGCTAGCTGTAATTCCCCTGCTCTCTGCTTTTTCTTCATAAGCAGGTTGATAGCACTCAATATTTGCTGGGTTCTTTGTGCTCCACACTACAACTCACAGCAAAGTTTTAAACATGAATTTCCTTGGGAGGAAAACTTTATTCCAAAGCTGAAACAACCCTGCTGGGCATTACCCCCCCCCAAAATAAATCTCAATCTTGCCCTCATGATGGTGTGGTTAAAATAAAAACAGCTGTGTCTGTTTCATGATTTATTAACAGATATATTTGGAATATTATTTCTTCGTCTTCTTTGGCGATCACTCGTAGCCGAGAAAGATTATCTTCCATAAACACGTTTTGATAATGAGTCCTTAAGTGACTGTGGAGGCCAATTCTGGATCCACACGTCCTTCCACAGTGGGGACGTTGGTTTCCGGGCGGGAGTTGATCACGGTGTGGATATAGACCGCCTTTCAGCAAAGTTCTTAAGGTGGTTGATACAGTGACATTCAACACCAGTAAAACAATCTAAAAAGTGAGCTGGGGAGGGAGAATCCTAGGCAGATGAACTGCCTTTCCACATGCCTTGCAGGGTTTCTGCTGTCACAATGGGAACTATGTGTGTAAGGGATCATTTCCCCTTTTTCTACCCTGTTCATTCATATATTTTTCATTTTAAAACACAAAAGGTAAAGATAAAGGTAAAGGTACCCCTGCCCGTACGGGCCAGTCTTGACAGACTCTAGGGTCTGTCAGTGCTGTCCACAGACACTTCCGGGTCACGTGGCCAGCGTGACAAAGCTGCTCTGGCGAACCGGCACCAGAGCAGCACACAGAAACGCCGTGTACCTTCCCGCTATAAAGCGGTACCTATTTATCTACTTGCACTTAAGGGTGTTTTCGAACTGCTAGGTGGGCAGGAGCTGGGACCGAACGACGGGAGCTCACCCCGCCACGGGGATTCGAACCGCCAACCATGCGATCGGCAAGTCCTAGGCGCTGAGGTTTTACCCACAGCGCCACCCGCGTCCCCTAAATACCATCTCATATATTCCAATGGGTGGGAAATAAACCACACCAGCTCTTGGGCTGACTTAGTGATGCCACATTTGAACACACTAATTGGAGCTACATGGGAAGTGACAAGGTCAGTGTTCACCAAACTACAAACATCCACCTTCATTAGCTTTGGTTTGATCTATACGCATAAATTTGCCAACTTGCATATCTGGCCTCACTGTTAGTTCAGCTTTACTTTTTAAAAGTATGTGGGGAAACTATTATCTCAAGCCTAAATTTATGCATTTTATTTCATTCATTAGAAGCATGTAAATTTTTAATTTTCCATTAGCTAGCAATGAAAACCAACTTTTTAATCCCCTCATTCTTATGATTGCAAAGAAAAGAAGCCGACATTCTTATGCTTGGGTGGGAGACAGATTTGTACCTCAATTACTTTAGATAGGATAGGGACTGAGGTCTGGTGGAAGGCATCCCGGTCAATGGTGGTTCACTTTGGTGGCTTGGAATTTGGCCTTGCCACCTCCTTCTCAAACACAGCAGCGTAAACTGAAAGACACAGCTTGGCCCCATCTGTGTAAAACCACAGAGACTTTTTGCTGAACTGCAGGCTCCCTTCAAAATAAGCTTAGGCAATTTTAACATAATAATAATAATGATAATGTTTTAATTGATTTAAATCTAAAGACCATGACTTTTTACGGTTAAGATAGCGCAACCGATGGCTCCCAGGAGCCTAGACAGACTTCCAGTAGAATTAGTCTCCCTGTCAGAATATCCAAATTACAGTATAACTATTTTGAAGGCAAAAACAGCTCCATATTTACAAATACTGCAGTATTTATTTAGCATGGCAACTCTATGCTGAGCTTGATGTTAATTAAGGAAGCCAAGAATAAAAATTGCTTTGGCCTCAGATGTAAGGAGGTTTCCTTTTTTAGCCAAAACATTTTGAATCCTACTGTGGTGCCACAAAGCTTTTAGTTCTGTAAACCATCATGAAGCACAGTTTGCATCAAAGCTGCTATTCCGATTCAAGCGGCAATGTACTGATGATACCATCTAATGGGAAAACTGCACATTTGGGACCTTTCTTCCCTTTCCCTGCATTTGTGCATAAAAAAAACTTCATAATCGGACATCCTTTGTCAGGGGCTTTGTTGGTAGGAAAGGCAGAGTTTGGCCCACCATGTTTTGCTGCCTGAGGTAGAGCAGAAAATGATACTCTCACCTCTCAAGTCTCCAGGTTCAAAGGGCCCAATAATCTATCAAGGTTCTTTGTTTCTACACCAGAGACAGAAATCCCACAAGTGTGTCTCTGTTAATACCAATATAATCATAATAAATTAAATAACCAACAATTTGCTGAGGCGGCTAACTCACTCTGGCCAGGCCTGAGAAAGGCTCAGTTACAGACCCTCTCTTAGTTAGGCCCTAAAACCAGAACAGGGAACCTGTGGCCCTCCTCACCTCCCATTCACCTCAACCTGCCTGGTTGATGGACAAGGCTGATGGGCATTGGAGTCCTACAGGCTCCCCAACCTTGGCCTAAAATAATTCTAAGCTCTTACAGACCCTCCAAGTGTCCCCATTTTCCAGGGACAGTTCTGGATTTACAGAAGCCATCCCTTTTTTAAAAAAATTGATCTCAGAATGTCCCGCTTTTCCTTAGGGCGTCCCTATTTTCATCAGAGAAAAGCTGGAGGGTATGGTAGGATGTCCCTATTTTGATCAGAAAAAGGTTGGAGGATATGATCAGTTATGCAACCCCCGAGCAAAGAGATAAGTAACTATACAACCTTCAGAAGACATCTGAAGGCACCCCTGTACAGGGAAGTTTTTAATGCTTGATGTTTTATTATGCTTTTAGGAAGCCACTCAGAGTAGCTGGGGAAACCCAGTCAGAGGGGCAGGGAATAATAATAATAATAATAATAATGGAATACGACACCCCTCTTTTCATTGGAGAAATGTTGGAGGGTATGCACTTAACAACCCCTTTCCCCATTTGATATGCACCTTGAGGACTATATTTTAGAAACAATATATGGAGAAAAGGACAGTACTCCTATTGTTATAACAGTTGTATAGAAGTGAAGCAAAACCAGTGTGTGTGTTTTTTCCCTACCCCTGCATATAACAGCTGCCCGGCCTTATTACTGGCGCTGCTTCTGCACTTTAAACAGAAGCTGGGCGGAGAAACTTACCAGGTGAAGCTTAAATATTTATGTCAGGTTGCTGCGAAAGATGCAGGAGCAGTGCAAAACAAATGTCCCTCTCTATGGCCAATTGTCTCTTCGACACAGCTGTTAACGTTCCCACAGTCTATTTTTCTGCCTGTGGTCTGTCTGTGTGGCCTGATAGCGTCATGCAAGCTGTCACGGTCTGACAGGAACTTGTCACGTGAAATGGAGAGCTCTAAGGTTGACCCAAACAGTGTCAATGTGGCGCTCATCAGTGCCCACAACGCCATAGTGCTCTTGGCAGGGCCTGCATTTTGGTAAGGTGCCGAAAAACTAATACAAATAATGCTGAACCTTCGCTCCTGAGGGACGGTGCCATCTTGAAAGCTTGCCTTTTGCAATGTTTGTTGGCGTCTCCCAACTAACTAGCTCCTTATCCTTCTTTTGGTGCCTAGTTATTTGTTTGTTTATTATTTCAATCAACATTTTTGGGTGGGTGGTTTCAGTGCAGAGCAAAATCAGACCAGGGGCAACAGATTGAAACCAAATCCATATATAAAATTTTTATCCTGCCGTCCCTCCACAAGGAGCCTAGGGCAGCAAAATACAAGATAGATCATCTTGTTATTTACGATATAAAAATAAAATATAAGTCACAGAGCCAGGCACTAATACCCTGTAAATGCCTGAACAAACAAGCAAAAGTGTTCAGCTGGCATACGAATCTGAGAAAAGAGACTCTGTTGTTATATATTTGGTGCCCATTGAAGGCTTTCCTTTCAACAAAACTTCTAAGTGAAGATTTTTATCCCAGTCAGTATTTGACTGAAATCTGTTTCAGTATATGTAATTAATTATTTTACATATGCTTTTAGTGTATTGTGAAATCTCTCCCTCTTGGGCGTGATGCACAATTGGAATTAATTAGGTAATAATAATAATAATTCATTGCTGTGGGGGGTGGACAGGGAGCGAAATGCTTGTGAGGTTATTGCCTCAGATGCTGAAACAGGAGCAGCTCCATTTATAGTCTACCTAAGGCAGCAAAATGTGTTGGCTATTTCTTTATGCAGTGAGTGGTACTGGCTGTCCGGTCATTGGTGGTGGGAAGGAAGGGCTTGGGGCTGCCATACATCCTCTTTACACTGCGTTGTGTGAGTCAGCGTGGAGTCATCCTTAAAGGGTTAGACCAGGACCTCAGTGACCTGGGTTCAAATCCCCACTCAGCCACATAGCTCACCAGGGGTGGGCCAACCAAGTATCTTTCAGCCTGATCTATCTTACGGAGTTGTTGTGAAAATTAAATATATGTTTGTGCGTGGGGAATGGAACAGACCCACGGCTGTTGTTGTGACGCCTTGAAGGAAAGTTGGGATATAAAAGGAGTACATATGTGCGTCTCAAATCTTGTTGTTGTTTAGTCGTTTAGTCGTGTCCGACTCTTCATGACCCCATGGACCAGAGCATGCCAGGCACTTCTGTCTTCCACTGCCTCCCGCAGTTTGGTCAAACTCATGCTGGTAGCTTCGAGAACACTGTCCAACCATCTCGTCCTCTGTCTTCCCCTTCTCCTTGTGCCCTCAATCTTTCCCAACATCAGGGTCTTTTCCAGGGAGTCTTCTCTTCTCATGAGGTGGCCATGAAGAGCCTCAGCTTCACGATCTGTCCTTCCAGTGGGCACTCAGGGCTGATTTCCTTAAGAATGGATAGTTTTGATCTTCTTGCAGTCCATGGGACTCTCAAGAGTCTCCTCCAGCACCATAATTCAAAAGCCTCAAATCTTACTTGTGTTCATATGAGGCCTTAATTCAAAATTCATGCAGGGCTATATATGAGGATGCTCTTAGTATGAGGGTATGGAGACAAGTTATAAAGGAAGGCACTGCTGGGAAACTCTTAACAATTTTATTCAAACCAAGAAAAATGAGGTGTTTATTTTAGGCTTCCAATACTATTAAAAATCTGCACTTCGCAAGCTGCCTCTCTAAGTAAAAGACCGCTTAGCAACTGAGCATGATGAATCTATTTTGACAGGTGATTGCCCAGGCAAATAATACATCATCTTATTTCAGAAAGCGAGAAAGGAATCCTTCTGTTGGCATCCGCCTAGCCTTCCCCCAGTTTTAAAGCACTTCTATTTCCCCTGGGTATTGCTAGTTACTTATGAGAACCTTTTGTCCTCTGGCTTTCATTATTCATAAGGACCAGTCCCATAAAAGATTGAAGATACCTAGCAACAACCAAGATTAATTCATACCATTTCATGAAATTCATTTGAACAGGCAGTTGGGGCATGGAACCTTGAACACATGCTAATTATATGGAGGGCAGGAAAACTGTCCAAAAATATGCAAAATGCAGATGAAATTTTAAAAAGGTGTTTCATATTTCTAATATATATATATTTAATGGTCTAGTTTCATGCAGAACCAGAGGGGGTTGGAATCTTCTTTAACAATTAAAACATGGTCACTGAAAGGGATTGGGAGTTTCTACCCAGTATTTTTTTCAATGATTCCAGTATTTTTTCAATGATTTACAGATTCGTGGTCCAACCCAGCAGTGATTTGATGCACCTATCTCCCATTGAAGTCAATGGAGCAAATAGTACAGTTAAATAATAAACAAATCTTCAACATTTTCATAAAATAACCATTCTCAAGTCCTTTGTTTGGATTTGGGTTTTAAATTCATAATTAGTAATCAAATTATTCCCACTAGAATCTTAGGCCTAGGCCAATACCAGTATTTGCCTGCATGCTTTTTTTGAAAGAATTGTTTCTCAGATAGAAATGGCCCGATTTTAGACAGGGAAATGTTTTCTCAAATATCAATTAATTATTGGCAGTCCTCTCCAGAACTGAAATCAAAACTAGCAGTGTATGTTGGGAATACATTGCCTAAAGAGCAAGTCTTCTAAAAAAGGTCAGCTATCACTTGTTCCATCTTGTGTCCTGTGAAGCTATTCTATGCATTTGTGGCACATGTGAATCAGGCAAAGGTTTAGACTTTTGTGCTGTAGCTCTGCAGGTGTTAACACTGATATTTCTCTCTCCATCCTTTGTCTCGGTGTTTCAAATAACACTTTTTCATTTGTAGCAAATTAACGCCAAATAAATTTGCTTACTTCCACTAAGGATCATTTGGCAATCTAAGCACTTGGGTTACATAAAGTCAATTTAGCAATTAGTTACGGAATAGTGCAATATTGTAAATAATGCATCCATTGCTGTTCAGCAATATTTAAAAAGGTTTGGGAACCACCGAACATCAAGAAGCACCAGTGATAGGGGTTTCCCCCCTCTTGGTAATGTTTTAAATATGTTTGTTTTTTATTATTTATTTTGTTATCATAAATCATTTTCAGGCGTTTTGTTTGCAAGTAGCATGCATTCAATAAACCTAGGGTTGCCATATTCAGAAAAGTGAAAATCCGGACACCAAAGTTCATGAGCTTTTTTTTGGGGGGGGGGGTGCAAAGTTGTTGAGCTTTTTGACATGATTTGCGAGGGCCGAATCCTGCATATGTCTGGGAAACCCTAGAAACATGTGGCAGCCCCATATAAACCTAACTTGACCAACAAGCTGTGGGAGCTATAGTTTGTGGGCAAATAACACATTTTGCATGCAAAATGTCCCCGATTCAATTCCTAGTATCTCCAACTGAAAGGAACTGGTAAGAAGTGATGGGGAAGACCTCTGCCTGATACCCTCGAGAACCACTGCCAAGTCAGGCTGAATAATATCAGGCAAAATAAAGAAAGAGTTGACCTATGATTACATTTCCAGAAAGGTAGCCATGTTAGTTTGTTAGTTTGAAATCTCATGCTGTATTAAATTTCTTTTTTTTTTTTAATAATATTTATTAATAATTTCAAAATTACAAAAAAAGAAAAAATAAAGAATAAAGAACAACACTACAATACAAAAAAAGAAAAAAACGCAGAACATAAAAACCAATACAACAATACAGCAAACGAAAAATAAAAAGAAGGAAAAAAAGACACAAATCCCAAATTGCATATCTATAATTTCCATTTGCTTGTTTCATTGACCTCCTCACACCTCCCTTTTTGTATTCTAGTTTAATTAGTTATTTCAGCAAATTCTTTCCATCTTTCTCAATTTTTGTTCAAAAATATATCTTAACAATTTAACCTAATAATTAACTCAACAAATCCTTTCCATCTTTCCCCATATTCTGTTATTCAAATTACCTTAATTTATTTAACCTTATCTTACCCCAAAATACCTTAAAGCTTAAATCTTAGTTTTCAAATATACATAGCTCCTGATATCATTTCTGCTAGAGTCATATAGTTTTATTCCAACATTTCCCCTAATATTCATTAAGCAAATTCTAAATAAAAAGTTTCCTTTATAAATTTTCTTCCAATCATCATCCAGCGTCTCTTCTTCCTGGTCTCGGATCGTGTCAGTCCTTACTGTCCATTCCATCTAGTCCATCAACCTGGAAGCCTTATGTCCGAGGCCCTTAAGTCTCTTCCATGTCCCTTCTGCAGTTCTTCTTCTTCTTGTTTATACTTGCCCTTTTCCTTGTCTTTTGTTGGTCTCTTTCTTAATTTCTTTCCTTTCTCATTGAGAAGTAGGTCTCTGGGGGATTCCAACCCAAAATTGTCTCCATCTCCCTTCATCCAGCCCACCCATTCCCCACAGTCCCACTCCCCACAGTCCTCGATATAATCCAAAAAGTATTTAAAATCATATTTCAAGGTCTCTCCAAAATTAGGAACCTCCTCATCTCCAAACTCCCCCTGGCCCACTCCAACTTCAATCTTCAATGACAGTGGCTTATGCTCCTGTAGGGCCTCGGGTCTCTCCATTTGTATTATTTGAGGTGCAACCGCATCTTCCTCCATTGTCATGTGCACTTGCCCAGTCAGTACAGAATCATAGGTTGGTCCCTGGATGATTTCTGTATCAGTGTTCCCTGTTTGTCCACAGTTATTAACCACGACAGTCAAATCCATTTTCTCATTCATCAAGTCCATCTTCTCGTGCATCTGTTCCAGCAAGGCATTTGTCTTGCATAAAGCAAGCACCCAATCTTCCTCCCAGCTCATCTTTGGTCAAGGTCAGAAAAGACTGTTCCCACGATCTTAATCTCACAGATGTTGGGTCCTCAAGTATACTGCAGCAACAATTTAACAAGCTCCTCTAGAGGAGACTTTCTATTTGTATCCATTTTTTTTTAAAGGCAAAGGAAAGTTACTTTCATTTTCCAGATATTTCAGATGTTTTTCAGATATTTTGTTTCTTTAAAATGCAAAAGGCAACATTAGAATCAACTTGTCTCTCTTCATTAGCTATCTGTCAAAATATTCCATTCACAGTCAATGAACCTCTCCAACAGTTTCTGTCTCTGACACCCCGTTCCCAGGTTAGAGACGGTGGAAACTTATCCTTCTTCACTCCCTCTCCTGCTAGGGTTAAACAGAGTCCCCCCTTTTCTCCTGCTTCCAAGGGGGGTTTCAGTGATTCTAAATGAAGGAAATTTAGGCTTTTTGACAGCTTTCCCGGCTTTAGCTTACAAAATTTTTGCTTTAGTCTATATACAAAAAGCGGAAGGCGGACTTCCTGTTTTGCACCTTCCCGCTTCGATACCAAATTAAGCAATTTCTTGATCCAATTTTCCGTTTCTACTCACGGGTACTTGTTTTAAATCCAATTGTCCACAGGAAAAGTCAGCGCTCTCTGGCAATGGCTGTGCGGCTTCACTCCGTGAAAGTAGCAGTCAGTTCGCAGCACCGCGCTTCTCACCCCACTTCGCTCCGGAGCCCCTAAATGGGATTCCCCGCGAGTAGGGGAGCGCTTCTGGTGCCCTGCCGAACCCCACGTTCCCAGGCTTCCTCTGCCTGGGATTTCTAACGGGTCCCCACCTTCGCCGCGGCGGGAAGACCCAGTTTCCACGGAGCCCGTTCCTCCGGTCGGAGGAACTCCGCCATTCACCAATGGCGCTGACCCGGAAGTTCTAAATTTCTAAGTCTTTAATGTACCACAAGACACTTGGGTCTGGAAACCAAGCCTCGTGAGGAACAGTTGAAGGAACTGGGTATCTTCATTCTGGTAAAGAGGAGACTGAGAGAAGCAATGATAGCCATTTTCCAATATCTAAAGGGCTGCCACATGGAAGATGGAGCAAGCGTGTTTTTAACATCATCATAATAATTTATTAAATTTGTTTACCATTGCATACCCGCAGGTCTGGAGGGTAGGACCCAAACCAATGGCTTTGGGTGACAAGAAAGGAGAGTCGGACTCAACATCAGGAAGAACCTTCTGATGGTAAGTGCTGTTTGAACAGACTACCTTGCAATGTGGTTGACTCTCCTTCTGTGGAGGTTTTTAAACAGAGGTCTGATGGCCTTCTGTCATATAGGATTTAGTTGAGATTCCTGCATTGCAGGGTGTTGGAATAGATCACCCTTGGGTTCCCTTCTAACTTTGCAATTCCATGATTCTAAGTAACACGAGCAGCCACAGCTTGATTTGTAGTTACATGCCTAAGTTTGTCCTCTTCATTCTCTGAAGAATCTGCTGCAGCTGAATGCCAATGTAAGTTGACATTCAGAAACTTTGCAATGTATAATAGGGGGTGGGACTGCATTGGTGCATGTGCAGTAGAGACCAGAATTCCTGGACCTTTATAAAAATTATGTTTAAATTGGAATCTTAGAAGCAGGAACATGTCATGTCATAGTACTGCAAGTGCACTACAGGAACAGCTAGATTGGTAAAGAAAAGGCATTTTATATGCGTTGTATATGCAATATTACACTGTGACACCAGATGGCGCTGTGGAGTCCAGTCTTTCCCTACTGGATTTCCCTATAGGAGTTTACAACGCGTTTAACTGAAACGCTTCTTTGATGTGTCTAGATTCTGTACTCTTCCAGGTACAGAATATCACTGTCCTGTATTGCATCTAATAGTATTTCTTATCTCTGGAGAGACACCTGCACACAATACACAGACAGACCTTGTCAAACAAGTTACCTTTGGAAACAGAAGCTGTGTTCAGGGGTTATTCCTAACAGGGCATTTTCCAAATCATGTACGGACACATACACCCTCCCCCCGCCCCCACTACACACCACCCACTCTGCTTGGATTTCCCTTGTATTGAGCAAGAAAGGCAGAATGCAAGTGCATTTGGCTGAAGTCACAACCCTTCCCCAGTTGTCAAGACGCTTATAAGCAGAGTCAACTGCTCCATTCAGGCCTTCCTGCTCACCACAGGAAAGCAGAGATGAGGATGTTGAAGGCTTGGTTTGCATGCATGGTCCCACAACCCTCTTCATGTGTTCACAATGAATGCTGTTTCAAAGGTGAAAACCTTTCTTGGAATAGGATTGAAGGGTGATAAAAAAAATACTTACAAATATCTCATGCACATAAAATGAACAAGGCTGTGCAGGTGAGAGGCTCACCCCAACCAATGCATGTTCAAGCATCTGCTCACGTAGTTCAAACTTTGTTCAACGAATGAGCGTTGGATAGGGTGGGGCTGGCCACTGTGATAAAGTCTCTTGCCCTCGAATTGTCCATTTTGCTTGCCTAAGAGCATTTGCAATGGGCTTTTGATGAAGAAAATGAGAAGAGACATGCAAACTTTTCACACTCTTAAACACATTCAAGATTGCATTGAGAACATAAAAGTAGCATATTCATCTGTGTAGAGCTGTAAGAGCAGCCTACCAGATTTTTTTTTTAAAATTAAATAGCATTTGGATGAGTTGTAATCCTGGTTGTTTGAGAATGGCTGTGTTTAATAAATCATGGTCAATTGTAAACACATTTCTGGAGTTGCGCCGGCCTCTTTTATGGTGCCTAGAACCAAGGAGGCTCTCTAGCCAGGAAACAATTATCCTCTGCTTTGGCCAGCTGTGTAAATGAGACCTAGTCCACGTGTTACCTGGATGGCTAGAGCTGTGTGGTTTTTAGTTCTACATCATGTGTATTAAGACGAATGGCATTGTTGAATTCAAAGCGTGTGAGTCACACAGTGTGTGTGTTTCGCCAAGACAAAAATAACAAATGAAGGTCGGTCTAAAATTCTATGGCCCACATACGCCACTAATTTTGCCTTCTATGCTGTTGTTTTAAAGCCATCCAGACCACTTTGTATTCCTGCTGGAGTCTGTGATGTGCTTCCCATGTAAATGACAGATAGACAGTCCACATTAACACCCACTGGCATGCAGAATTCATGAGCCTGGCCTTCAATAATTATGTCAATCTATAAAATAATAAACTCTTTGTTCTTTCTATTGGCCTGCTGGGATTTGAGCCAGGAGGCTCAATCCTTGAAGCCTATTCTCCATAGAGCTGATGGCTGGAAAATTAATTGTCAAAAAAGGGGTGGGAACGGAAACTGCAGTTCTTTATATATGCATTTATTTATGACCATGGGTGTTTGGGCTTTATTGAATAGTGTGAAGCTTTCAGTAACATATTACATGCTACATTTAATACGGTTACCTTCATATTATTATCACTAGTAACTGTATTGGGTTGTATTTTGAGTATGACTACCATTGGATACAGCCCATTGATTTGGATCCCAATATAAGGATGTTCACAGAAGAAAATGTTCCCACCCACTTCTGCCATCACCAGCAAATTTCATTTCATCTTCATCCCATGTTGTTCAGGAGCCGCACTCAATCCTCCAGAAACTTTTCTTAGTGAATGCAGATGAGAAAGGGGGATGAGATTTCTTTCCATTTCCCAAGAGGAGAAAAATGATGAAGATGATAAAGCAACATTTATGCTCTTGGTGCTTTACAAGTACAAGGTTATAGGCCCCTGCCCTGGGGAAATCTAAAACCTGTCTCAACCTGCACACATGGGTTTTCAAACAATATAACTTTTACAAATTTCCTATGAGGGTGGCACAAGGTTCAGAAAATGTATTAAGACCACCAATGACCCTCACTACAGGCTCAAATAATTCATTCTAGTTAGTAGTCCACTTACCTTCAGGTGGCAACTAGTTTTGCCAGAGTGGCACTTTTAGAAATGGAGGCTGGCAGGTCAAAGGCCCAGTCTCCTGAACAGACTGCTTCCGTGTCCTGTTCCCACAAATACTACCCAAAAAACCTTTTGCTGTTGTAGAATGGTATCTTCAACTCAGAGAGTTGGATTTGACTGTGGGTCTTCAGTTGCTTATCTAGGTAGATAGATAGGCAGACTGCAGACTAGTGACTGTCCCTCTCAGACACATAATACAATTGTTGATTATTCCTCTACAGGCCCTGTTTCCTTTCCTGATACTACATCCTCAGGTGCCCAGTCTTGATTTCAACATTTCAGAGGCTCGTGAGATATGTTCTCATGGTTTTTCTTTGTTCCAGTTAGAATAAGAGAATTGTAGATTTGGAAGGACCATGAGGGTCATCTAGACCAAACCCCTGCAAGACAGATAACTTTTGCCCAGTGTGGAGCTCGAACCCACAAACCTGAAATTAAGAGTCTCATGAGCTACCGACTGAGCTATTCAGTTACTAGACCTTCTTTCTTATCTTTTCTCCACTATCAGACTGACCCCTTACCCATGTTTTACTGTTTGGATCCTTTGCTTGACTGCTTGAGGGAAGGGCATAACTCAGTGGTAGAGAAAATGCATGCTGAAGATTTTGTTCAATTCCTTCACATCTGCAGGAGGCTTCATTTATACTATGTACACCTTTTCCTTCATCTGTGAATGACTTGCTCTGCTCTCATGAGTGGTTGGATATATATTCCAACCACAATGTCTCACAATGTGCCTCTCTTCAACTCTTCTTCATTATGCATAGAAAGGGTTCATAGAAAGGGTTCTGGTCCAATTGCTGGACCAGAGCAGCAAGTTTAGCTTGCACCCAGTCATATGTTTTGTGATGTTTCAATCACATTTTCCCAATATCTACAGTGGTACCTCGGGATGTGAATGGGATCCGTTCTGGAGCCCCATTCGCATCCTGAACAGAACATAAGACGCGACTGCGCATCTGCGGGTTGCATTTCTCTGCTTCCGCGCATGATGTCATTTTGACCGTCTGCGCATGCGTGAGCATCGAAACCCGGAAGTAACGCACTCCATTAATTCTGGGTCGCTGCGGAGCACAACCCGAAAATACTTATCCTGAAGCGTATTTATCCCGAGGTATGACTGTACTTTAAATGCAGGACCTGAAACCCAAAGGGACACAAGTAGCTTATCTTGGTACTTCTGTAGCAAACGACATTTCTAAATATCCCTTTTGATGCCTGACAGCTAAAGACGGAAAGATCAACATCCAGTGGCAAACCACTTTTTGAAATATGTAGAAAACCCTCATTTCATTTCATTTAAAAGGATCAAAACCACCAAGTGGTTTTCTTTTAACTCTTGTTAACAATTTTCTCAGGCAATAGAAATTGAGATAGTGGTTGCCTGCTCTCCCCTGAATAGTCATATAGACCATGGATTGACAGTCTGTGGCAGCTTCTTACGTCTTTATAGGTTCTTGATTGATGTAACTAATTTCTAGAATTATGCTATTCTGAATTTTTTTAATTATTTAATCAGAGTGATATCAAGAAATGCCACATTTCTTCAGCATATTGCCACAGGTATTTTACAACTTCCTCCTCCATTTCCATGTTTTTAGTAAATAATTTATTATGTACTTTTCAAGGAAGAGGAAGTAACTGTCCTCACCATCTGATGACTAAACAGTCAGTAAGTTGGAGTGCTCTGAGACTTAATAGATGTTGCAAGAAGACCTCAAGGACAGCACAGCATCATCTTAGCGACTCCTGAGCTACCCCAATGAGGTAGTAAACAGGTTCCCATACAGCAACCAGTCATATCTGAAGAAACGACCATGTCAATTTGTATCCATCCCTTGTTCAATACAGTGTTACCTCGGGTTAAGTACTTAATTCGTTCCGGAGGTCCGTTCTTAACCTGAAACTGTTCTTATACTGAAACACCACTTTAGCTAATGGGGCCTCCCGCTGCTGCCGAAGCACGATTTCTGTTCTCATCCTGAAGCAAAGTTCTTAACCCGAGGTACTATTTCTGGGTTAGCGGAGTCTGTAACCTGAAGCGTACATAACCTGAAGTGTATGTAACCTGAGGTACCACTGTATTTCCTTTTTGCTCATCGCTCAACATTCATTTCTGTTCTGTGGCTACCATTTATCGCAGTATCAGTCAGAAAAGCTTGGGATGAGTGATGCATGGGGTTAGCAGTCGCATACCACATTTCCAAGATTGAACTTTGGCGGTATGTATGCATCCCCTCCCCAAACCCTTTTTGTCTTAATTTGTACTGTTGGATTTGCAAACATATTACAAATTCTGACCGGCAATGTCCACCCATCACCCAAGCCCTAATTCTCCTTCAGTTTTGTTCACCAGTCCTGTCCCCCCTGCCTGACACCCTTATTCCTTTGCTCAATTGTACTCATAGTTTCCACTGTCTACATTGATTCTGCAGTCGCAAACAAAACACCCTTGTACACTTCCATCTTCTTGAGGGATGGTGCTTTGTTTTTAATTTCTGCATACCTAGAAAGTCCCTCATGTATGCAGAAACCACCATCTTATTATTGGGGCAGCTTCCAAACTTGGTAGGCTGGCACAGGAACACCCAAGTTTGGCGATGCAGAATCCAAATGGCAGTTGTTCCGCTCGTTACGCAGAGAGGTTCAGCAAGTCAGCATGCAGTGGGACAATGCAATGCACAAAAATCCTCCACGCGTTCTTAACATTTAGGCTTCATCCTTTATTAGGTAGTGAATAAGAGACATAAAAATGATTGTTTGTTGCTTACAGCTGAAGTCTACGAGAGACTCGTCTGTGTGAGTGAGAGAGAGAAAGATAGGGACAGAGAGAAAGAGAAATGTTTGCATACAGCACTGTGATGACAAGAGAAGCGGAGGACCGGGGTGGGGTGGGGGAGAGAGATTTAAGCAACTTAAAAGAGCATGGACCAGCTGATGAAAAGAGTAGGAATGACTCTTTTATTTCTAGCAAAACTTTGATTATCTCTGCCATTTGTACTGTGCCTCCATACATGCCACAGGCCAAAATATTAAAAGAACAAATCTATTCGTTTTGATAAGAGCAGTAGCATGACTTCAGTTTTGCATATTATGCCATATGTGAAAAATCCTTTCCAAGGCAGCTCTGCCTTTGGCACATCCTCAGTACTCTATGGCTAGGTTCTCAGTGGTTTCCTTCTGTGGCCACAAGCAAAGGCTCTATGAGCCAATTAAAAAAAATCAAAAACCCATAAAGCTTGGCTTGAAAAACCACTGCCATGTGTGCACATGCCGGAGTGCTGAGGATATTGTCCTTATTGCAACTACATTGTAAAAACAAAAAACAAAAAACCGAGACATATTGCTGGAGCACATCTCACAGTTGTCGTGGAGATGCCGTCAAAAACAGCTTCCATATAGAAGATAATCCCTGTACTGGCCACAGTACCTCCCACTTCCATGTCCCCAGTGACTCAGAATGCGGTAACTCTTATCTGTCTGACAAGCACTTCTAAACAGAACATCCAGGACAGAGGCGATTTTCCCATGGAAAGGCTATTTTCAGTAGCATCCCAATAATAGCTGTAATATGTTCATGCTGTAAGGTGTGGGAGGGGGGGAGAGGAATATGTGGCCCTCCTTAAGTCATTGGACTCCAGTTCTCATCAGTCCCAGCCAGGGACGATGGGATTTGTAAGTCAGCAACTTATGGAAAGAAACAGGCTGTTTTGGAATCAGGGCCAGTTACTGGTCTAATTAGTGTGGTCAGAACGGGTTACTTGTGCTCACTTTTATGGGGCACTGGACCAAGCTTTCTATCGTAGTATTATTTCCAAAAGTGTTATGTTGCAAGATCCCAATGCTTTAGGAATAAATCTGTTCATCAGCTTACAGGGAACTAATGGTTATTCAACATCCTGAAGTACGGATTTTGAAATTCCTCATATTAAAGATGCTGAGCGTTTCACTTAATGAAAGTGCATGAAGACCACTAAATTCCTCGACTGACTTCCTATATCTGGTTAAAGATTAAGACAGTCCAAAAACAAAACAAAAAACAAAAAAGGTGCTTTATCTTCAAGGCACAAACATTTGCAAGTAAAATGGGTGATTTTTTTCTAAAATTGTTCATAAAGAGCTATCTTTGTAAATTAACATGTAAAAGAAAAATGAATCTCTTTGGATTTTGGAGGCACATAATGGGCTGGATCAAGTGCTCCATGCCGTCAGATCTAACTTCCTCCTGCAGCCCCCATGCCCTTTGAACATCTGCGGTGGGGGGCGGGGGCGGGGGCAGGGTTTCATTGGCTTTAATCCCCTTCTGCAAATAGCAAGTACCTTTCTGAGAATGGAAGAAGCTCTCCTCTTCACAAAAGGGCACCTTTGGACCCAACCCTTTATTCTTGGAACAGCACAAACTTCCTCCTTCCTCCTTTTACTTTATCATAATGCATATGTAAAGTGTGTGTGTGTGTGTGATGGACGGACACGTATACACACATACACGCCTTATAAGTGGACAGCTTTTTCTTTAAAAAAACAAACAAACCCACAAAAGTAAATACAAATGAATAACTCTTGGTCAATATTCTCTAAGCATAAAAATCCTCAAGTGCTAATATTTAAAAAACATGTGAATGTTTTAGCAAATCTATGGCCAATGTTTTGCATCACTAGCATTTTATGAATAGCCTTTAATCTCCTGCTCCCCACTTAATTCAAAAAATATGGTTTACTTTTTTTGTAGCTAAAATCTACTTGCAGGCACTGCAGCTGCAAATCAGTATGGCTGAATCTGACTGAGCAGATCATCTCATATTATTTATAATATCCTTTTCAGCTCTCTGTGGGGGAAAAAATGTCAGCAGCAAATATCAGAGATTCAAAACATGTGCATTCCTTTCCCATCTTCTCTGCTGTTTGTTGCCAACCACTTATTGACCCATATCTAAAACTGAATGGCTATATATAATTATTATATATATATATATTCTTTATAAGTTATTTTTTTTAACTCTGGCATATATACAGTATAGCTCTATAGATCTCCAATACTTCATTTTTTTCAAACCCTCACAGTGAACATGTGTCCTGAAGAGGTTACTACATAAAGGCCAGGGACAGGGTTTAGGGTTCAAGGGTTCTACCTGCTCCACACAAGTATATGTGACTATCTCATAAGACACATCTTCACATATATTTAAATGGATCATATCAGTAGCAATGTACATTATTAACCCATATCACAACCCCCGTAACAAATGCTCCTTCTTTGTCTGCTCACGTGTGGGGTAAAACAAAGTATTTCACAAGCTTGGCTCCCTTTCCTAGACAAGACCAATGCTCAGTTTTATTAGTGTCTGACACAGGGTTCCCCCAAACTTGGGTCTCCAGCTGTTTATGGACTACAATTCCCATTAGGAGTTGCAGTCCAAAAACAGTTGGAGACCCAAGTTTGGGAAATATGCAGTAACTTCCATGTAACATGAGGTTGACGTTATCCACTCAGCAGTCCTGAACTGGTTTAGCTGTCATTTCCTCTTTCCACCAGACTTTAGGAGTCTAGTTCTACAGGAGAGCATCCAGGGATCCTCAAAGGAGAATTCTCAGTGCCTCACCAAAGGTTGATTTCCAGAAATCTTTGGCAAAGGCTGTAGCATTAAAGTGGGGACATGGCAAAAAAACAACAGCAACAGGTGCAGTCCAAGATAGAAGTTGGCTGCCAGCATCAATAGGTGACCTGAGGTAAGGGAAGGTCCCATGTCCCTGCTGCTGACCATCTGATAGTGGTGTTGCAGGCAAGAGTAGCGAGGCCAGCAATGTGCACTGTCTGCTGCACAGAATGGGTGTAGCTGCCCCTACCTCCACACTGCCACAGATTGCTGACTCTTGGCTGAAGAGCAAAGGCCAGTTTCCTCTAGCCTGTGACCTCATAGGTTTCTGCTGATAATGCTAATGCAAGTTCAGATTAGTGCAGGTTAAGGTCTCTATTACCACTTAGCAATTTGCGCACACTGTGTCTCTTCAGTAGTCCCCAGGCAAACATGCAGGGAAATTCAAGAGCAGCATAACTTTCTTCTTCTTTCCTGGATAGTGAATCCCTAGTCCCTTTAAATAACGCTGCAAGGTACATTAAAAATTCTGGACAATTTAAAAAAAGCAGCTTGGGATGATGCAAGAAGGGCAAAATAGAGGGCCTGCTGTTCAAAAAGAAGTTAAGAGGTCTTGCTGCACATTGCTGGACGGATTTTGGCTCCAGTGCAGCTCATTCAGTGCTTGCAGGGAAATCGTCGTCCCTTTGCTGAACGTGACTCATTGGCAAAATTTGGATACGGGAGAGAGACTAACGCTGCAATCCTAGGCACGTGTACTCGGAAGCAAGTTTCCCTATGTGCAATGGGGCTGACTCCCACACTATGTGCGCATAGGATTGTAGACCACAATTGCTACCTAGGTCTATGATCATTTGTGGCAAACCATTTGAGAGAGAGATGATAACATTTACTTCTTCTTGGTTTGTGAACCTAGTGGCATACATAGAGACACAATACTAGTGTTTAACAAGACATCTATTGTATCTACTTTTACTCAGATAAATAGGAAATGCTGACTTGGCAGGAGCATTGGTAAGAGTACTACTATTCACAGTGTTTCTGTTCCCCGCCCCTCCCCCTTTTATTCTACAGAATTAAGTATTTTATGTACATTGGAACCGATTAATGCCCTTGAGACAATTGTGTTTTGCTGTTTCGTAAGCAGGAAAGACACTGCAGGGGAGATATGTGCCAAAAAAAGCACAATCATATATATATATATATATATATATATATATATATATATATATATATAATGGTATAATGGTTACTTCTAAAGTGGTAATATTTAAGAAAAATTCTCATCTGGAGAAAATACTGCCTCTTTCCCCTCTTTAGAATTTGTTCGGGTCTCTTATCAAAAGTCCTAGCTCTTCAATTTTATTTTTATATATTTATTTATATATATATATATATAGTTTGTTTTACTTTAAACTATAAATTAACACTGCATAGTTCATTGTTCTTGTTTTGCTTTTGCTCTGAAAAATTATTGCAGTACAATTAATTCCTTCCCGGAGTTCAGTACGGAGCAAACAGGACAGGCGTGTGGGTGGTCCGTATAGGCCCCGGCGCAGGTCGAAGGAGCGCCGGAGGAAGTGCTGAAGTCTGAAAGAGGGTCGCTGGTGGGGCTGTTCGAAGACTGAAAGGGGAATTTACAGCCACAGCAGCAGCTGCTGCGGCAGCTGCTAGTGGGTTTGGTAGAATCCGTGGAGCCATTGGTTTTGAAGGTTCCTTTGAAAATACTAGTTTCACCTGTGGGGAAAAAAGGGAAAAAACAAACAATAAGTATTACTTGTGCAAATTGCCCACAATGAAGATAGCTTTTCAGAGGCGGCGTATAAAATACTTAAGTGGCATTTCAGGCAGAAGGTGAATCAAAAGTTTTAAAGGAAGACAAAATAGAAGAAAGGATATGTGTGGAAATTTATCTTTTTGCTACACATTTGCTTTGACACTGGACAAAATGGGACATGGAATTTTGTTGAGAAAGAGTTGCTTGCTTGCTTGTTTTACATCCCCAAACTGACCGCTACATTTTCACTCAGTTAAAAGCACCCCACATTATCAGCCCTGTGGTCATCATTATTACATACTGGTTATTTTCTGATGCGTTAGTCACATTCCTACTTAGTGGATTTTGACCCACGCCCTTCCTTCCTCCAAGCATCTCAGGACAGTGATCTAATTTCAGCTTAATTTTTTCTTCTTCTCCACCATACATTGGAGGAGGGGCAAAAAAAGAAATAAGCCCTGGAAAGGAGTGTGGTGTTCTTCTTTTTAACTCTGCAGCACTCTGTGGTTTCCAGTTGTTGGTGTGCTTCTTGGAATGCCCATAGGAGACCCCAAGGCCCTCCTGTAGATATTCCATGAAGTGTGTTGACCAGGGAGGCCGTCTGCAGAGCACTGGAGACAGAGTGTGTTGCAAGGAGTTGTTTTAAAAGCTAAAATGAATCTTTTAACCTAAAAAACAAAAACACTGACATTCACCCAGGCCTACAACAGATGGAGGAATCCCTCCCTCTGCTTACTTCACAGTGGGGTGGGGCATGTCTGAAGTTGGTAGGAATAACTAGTTTTATTCTCTTAACAAAGCAGAAGAGGCCAAGAGAACATGACAATGGCTCCCAGTTAGCTCAGTGCTCTGTCTCTCTATTTTCTTCACATTCAGTATCCTAGGAATCATAGGCAAGCCTCCTCTGGCCAAACTCAAAAATTAATTGAGCTTTGCAATTGCTACACACTTGGAGAAACCTCATTGGGAGGCCTAAGTATCAGGTTAGAAAACTTGGAAAAGCCCAAGGAATGTCTGCTCAGCTTTCCCTGATAGTCTCTCCCAAACTTGGGAAAATGGAAAAGAGGTAGCCAGTAGCTGATGGCTTCCTTTCACACAGAAGTCCCAGGGCCTCTTCTGAGCTGGAAGTGAAACAATTTGCTGCCTAGGATCATGGAGCTTGACTTTAAACATCATTTTGTAGCCAAGGCAACTTGCAATGTAGCTGGAGATCATGGGGTTTGCAGTCAAGGCTACAGATGGAGCAGGATTCTATTTGGTTTGCTTTTTGCAATAGACTGGCAATGCTCCTTTCTGTCAGAAAGCAACTCCTAGTCAGATAATGCACCTTGATTTTATCATACAGTTTTTGTGCACGAATAGTGCACACAAAAGAGCATATTCTGCGTTATAAAAATGCATGTAAAACGTTCTTACATAAAATGCATTACAAAGCACTGAAAAAATGCATGTGACATAGGTGTCCAAAATGTGTGCAAATTAAATGCAAACATTTCATGCATTCTTGTGGTGGGGGTGGGAGGAAATAGCCTTACAGACTGTAGTGAAATGGACCTGTGATTCAGCACCAGAGAAACTGAAGCAAGATGGAATTAGGTTGCTCAGTTCATTCCCAGTCAAGCCACATGATCCATGGCTGCAAATGTCCCAAATCTCTATGATGCTTTTAAGTAGTGCTAGGACAACCATGCCATGAAAACAACATGACCAGGATTGTTCACAAGCCCAGCTTCTGTGCCTGTAAAAGTCCTGCCAATACACACCTGAACCAGTCTTCCATTAATTATTATTAGCAGTAGTATTAAATTTTCTATACCACCCTTCATTCAAGGATCACAGGATAGTTTACAATATAAAAACACAAAAATAACTTAGTAACAAGCAAAAACAATACCACCCCCACCCCCAGTCTAAAAGACCTTAGATTGTTTAATTGGCCCAAAGGCCTGGGAGAAGAGGAATGTTTTTGACTGGTGGCCAAAGATATGTAACAAAGGGGCCAGGCGAGTCTCTCTAGGAAGAGCATTCCACAAAAGGGGAGCCACCACAGAAAAGGTCCAACAATAACACCCACCCACACCCACGGGGAGCTTCTCAGAAAACCCATTTGCTTACCCCAAGTGGGTGTGTTCCCTTCTGGAGTTTGTTGTAGGGACTGTATTTGGGTTTCGGGGGCTTTCCAGCAGCTCTGTCTTTGTGCCTTCTACTGCTTATGTGCTGTTGGAAAGCAAGCAGTGTTGTTATTTATTATTGTTATTGTATAAATAACACGCTTTCCGTTGGCTTCAGCACCAAACACCTCTGGTCACCCAAAATCCAATTTGCTCAACCTAGTCCAATACCAAAATTATTAGTCGCAATAGTAAATCCGTTTCATTATCACAGTTTTATATGTTTGGAAAGAGAGTTCTCTCTCTCTCTCTCTCTCTCTCTCTCTCTCTCTAATGCATCGTAATAATTTTGTTGGCTTATCTGCCATGATGAAAATACCTACATTTGTTTCTTTAATTGATTTAGAGCAGGGTTTCCCAAACTTGGGACTACAACTCCCATCATCCCTAGCTAGCAGGACCAGTGGTCAGGGATGATGGGAATTGTAGTCCAAAAACAGCTGGAGACCCAAGTTTGGGAAACCCTGATTTAGAGGAATCACATACAGCTCTTTGCAAAAGCCACAGGACGGTTTCTAACAAGCACATTCTACTTAAGTTAACCAGACCGTAGCTCAGTGTTAACGTTAGAGAGTCACTGCCAGTCAGTTTAGACAGTACTGAACTAGATGGCCCAATGGTCTGACTCTTGATAAGGCAGCTTCCTATATTCCTATGGAATTGGAAAATGGTCTAAACAGGAGGCCACCTGGGGACAACATGGAAGCCACACAATTTAGGAGGAACAGCTAAATTGAACGTTCCTCCGTGAACCATTTTGGTATTTATTGTACTGCGGTGTTTTAATTCTAATTGTTTTGTGAGATGACTTGATCCTTAGGGTGTGATAGCAGCAGCAGCCTAAAAAAGCAGGGTAGACGTGAAAGAAAGAAACAGCCACAAATTGTAATCTTGTGCTAATGTTTCTAGGATGGCTATATACAATGATGAGATGCTGCAAAAGAGGATGTTTTGGCAAGTGTAGGTTCTCTCTCCCCCTCTACCTACCTTCAGAACAAGGCAAGCTGAACCTGCCCAAATTTCCTCTTCTACCATAGCAGAAGAGACTGGTGTAACTAATCACTCAAGATGCAGCTATCAAACTTCCCCTTAATAAGAGCTTATAATATAGACTTTTTCAGGACAGAGCTGTCAGCTGCCTTGGTCTTTTGGTCTTTATGTGCAGCTTTTGTCCAAGCTCATCTAAGCAGCTGGCTTGAACTGCTCCCAATGGCAGCTGCCTCCATATGGCAAACAATTTGTTTGCAGTGTTTCATCTTGCAGAGGAACCTCCTGCAAGTTCACAACCAAAAGTCAACAATTTGGAGGTCTTATAGGTGGAGGCATTTAATGTTTAGGAAGCTGGTGCAGATGACCAGGCTCTTTCTACTGCTC